GCCTGACAACACCTAACCACAGTGTCTATACGTCTTTGCACTCTAACTGTAATTGCCCGAAAAGAAAGTCCAGCTTCCCGAAGTCCCACTATACGGCCCCTATCAAACTCACTAAGTTGACGAAATCGTACAGGTCTCCGTACTCTAGGCATCGTAACCGATCGTAAAGGATGTCAAGAACCAAAATCCGCCAACGTTGATTCTCTACTGCGGCTGAAATATTCTTTTTTAGAGCGTTAGGGAATTAAAAAAAAGCAGTATAAAAACCGGAATGTCCAACTGATAAGGCTGAAAATTTTTTCACTTGTTATTTACAGTAAGATAAATACATTCACCAACTTTTATTAAAATAATGCCATTTAAACTGGGTGTTCGGATTTATATGTCACTTAGTATATTACCATAAATAATCGATAGGAAATACAAAAAAGCATGCGTATTCCCTACTGACTGACTAAAAAAGCTTGTTGTTTCTGGAGTACCAGATATATAAAACAATCCACCAGCCCTACTGAACCTCACAGAGCAATGGAGAGAGGATCATGGTAAACCTCTTGTCGAAGTGTTTCAACTCCCAAAAGCTTTTGAAGAACGCGGGATAGCAAACTTTTTCAGCGAGGGGATATATCCCAAAAATTCCCAGTATTGTACACAAAACCATAGTAAATATGCAAGGTCCAGTCGGATGTAAAGAAGGCTTCAAAATCAAAAAAAAAGTATCTAGTCTTCACTTTGATTGGGCATTCTTATAAATATCTTAAAAAAATCCTGTCATGCCTAATTCATGTAGAGTCTAGTTATGATTAGAGTATTAATAGTTATTTGGTTCTCGTATCATCGAGGTTGTAAAATTCCTAACGTCGTTTCACTCTCAACATATAAACATTAAATGTAAAACAAGATTTTTAACAGTTACGATCTTTGAAGTAAAAATAGAAACGTATTAGAAGTCGTTCGACGCCTATAAATAAAATTGATCTCTTACAGGTAAACTTGAAGCCTACAAAAAGGTCCATACACACTAAAACACTTCAGTTACCTTTTTACTGTGTATGTTAACAGCCTTCTTAACTTGAAATAGCAAGGCACACCAATATACTTTGCAGACGTTACGGCGACACATTATTCTTATAACAGTTCCTGGAACAGCCTTAGAGACTGTCGAAAATGATATCTTGATTTCAGATTAGTTTAGACACAAACATTTAAGGGTCAATTTTCATATTTATATGCCTTTCATAAGTCTTAAACATAAATTACCAGCATTCACCTATTCACAAATCAAATGTGACAACACAAATACCAGAATACATAGCTAATAAATCAAAATATTTAGGTGTTCTTTGGATCCTCATTTAAGGTGCCATTTCCAGGTTGATCATATAATAGCTAATATGAAATGGTTATCATTTAAATTCAATGATAAAGATGTCGTATCATGCACTTATTGAATATTGCATCAATTATGTGATACTAGCTTCAGGTCGTGCACTTATCAACCAAATTAAGAAACTAGAAATAATAATCCAAAAGCATTTTTTAAATATTACTTTTAAACGGCCAATTTCATATCCATGTGATATGTTTGTTATATTCCGAAGCGGGAATACTCGATAATAGGCAACTCCTTCTTTAAAATGTTGTAGACAATTTATTCAAAAATAAACTAAACTTTATTTCATTGGACCATAAGTGTGAAACAAGAAGTAAAGTCGAGGAGATTAAAAGAACACCATTTACAGCAAAAAATGTAGGTCAAAGATGTATTAGCTACCTCTCCACTAGATTCTATAACCTTTTACCAAGACATGTAAGTTCCATTTAAAATAAAAAAATAGGATCAAAATTGAAAAAAGAAATACTTGTTATCTAAAAAAGTACATGAAGTAGCAAAGCTCGCTCAAGAAAGTTAGTTATTTTTTTGAATATAACGTTATTACACTTATCTTTATGCGCATAAATTTATGTATTAACTATATTTAGTTATGTTTAAAGCAAAAATTGTTATGAACAGTTCTTTCTTTCCCACACCCAAGAATTAATTTCTTCTGTGAAGTTATTTCAGGTTATTTGAGTATATATACTAAGTGACATATAAATCTGAACACCCAGTTTAAATGGTTTTATTTTAATAAAAGTTGGTGAATGTATTTATCTTACTGTAAATAACAAGTGAAAAAATTTTCAGCCTTATCAGTTGGACATTCCGGTTTTTATACTGCTTTTTTTTAATTCCCTAACGCTCTAAAAAAGAATATTTCAGCCGCAGTAGAGAATCAACGTTGGCGGATTTTGGTTCTTGACATCCTTTACGATCGGTTACGATGCCTAGAGTACGGAGACCTGTACGATTTCGTCAACTTAGTGAGTTTGATAGGGGCCGTATAGTGTGACTTCGGGAAGCTGGACTTTCTTTTCGGGCAATTGCAGTTAGAGTGCAAAGAAGTGTAGACACTGTGGTTAGGTGTTGTCAGGCATGGCTTCGAGAAGGCCGTACGCAAAGAGCAATGGGCACTGGACGCCGCCGTAGAACAACAGACCGTGAAGATCGCCGCCTAAGATTATTGGCCTTAAGGGACCGTTTCTCCACTGCCAGGTCCATTGCAAATGAATGGTTTGCAGAACACGGAAAACCTATTGGCATGCGAAGTGTTTACCGACGAATGAGAAGTTTTGGCTTGTTTTCATACCGGCCACACTGGGTCCTCCCTTTAACTCGAGAACACAGACGTAATCGCCTTGAGTGGTGCAGACAACGGTCAGTCTGGGATCAGGAATGGAACAGTATTGTCTTTAGTGACGAGTCTCGATTTTGTTTAGGCATGCACGATGGTCGTGCCAGGGTTAGAAGGCGACGTGGTGAAAGGAGGAATCGACAGTTTTTTGTTGAAAGACATGTTCATCACACTGTTATATCCACGAAGTTCTAGATACCCCATCTTTTACCCTATCTTGACACTCTGGCAGATCCAACTTTCCAACAAGATAATGCCCGACCACATGTTGCAAGAGTCACAATAGACTTCTTTCAACATAATGATGTCACATTATTACCATGGCCACCAAGATCTCCCGACTTATCCCCAATTGAGCACGTGTGGGATATGATGGGTAGGAGATTGCTCAATTTGCAACGTTCTCCTCAGACTCTAGAAGCACTTCGAGAGGAGTTGGTGGTTGGCTGGAATGAGATACCACAAGAGGACATTGACCACCTGATCAGAAGCATGCATAGGCGCGTTGGAGAATGCGTAGCACATCAGAGTGCATCCACACATTATTAAAGGTCAAAGGGTTTTTAGGCAGTGCAATCATTTTGAAATTTTTATCATTTACTTATTATGCTTCATTAAGTACTTATACAAAATTTTATTAAAATAAAACCATTTAAACTGGGTGTTCGGATTTATATGTCACTTAGTATATATATATATATATATATACACCTTGGGAAAAACCATTATTATACATTATGATGAGGAAGAGAGATGGAAATATACAAAAGTATGAAGGTGCGTGAAAGACACTCGATTGTAGGATCTTATCTGGCAGCGTCGGAGTGTGACGGACAACGGGGTAAAGTAGAAGAGTGATAAAAGAGAGAGATAGCAGAACGGGCGCTGGCGCCTACCGCTTAGACGGAGGCGCTCAACAAATGCGATTTGTTTCTCCCATTCGCAGAGTTGCCGATACCAATATGTCATATTTCTAAGAAATCTAAGTCTACCCAAATTTCGGGAAAAATAGCTGCGGATTCCACATAAGAGTATTCCAAAAATGAAAAAAGTTCAAACTATTAAAATTGTATTAATGTTTCATGGTTCAAATCATATTTTTCATGTTTGTATATTGTTGTATAAATGATTTTGTAATCCCTATTCTTGTTGCCAGTAGAGATACAACAGTATTGAGAGAAATCATGGACCGCTAGATAGGGCTACAACTACCATATGACTATCAAATAGTAGTGATAAACAGGGTTTGTTTATAGCACAGTTGCCTAGTGTGGCGAATTTGCGCCATAGGGGCGATTTGACAACTTTGAAGGACAACTATAACGGTTACTATGGTGCCCGGTATTCGGGAATCTGGCAATACCTGATGATTCCTAACGTTTATTACGCCAGATTGTTTGCTGACTTGCGCAGTACAACATGACAATGAACGTGACTGAGCACCTGGTAACCCTGGTTTAAGGTGTTATATTTAAAGAGCTTGGGGCAGTTAGGTATCTAGGTCACATTTTTTAATGTATTTCGAGAAATCCGTAATGTTGTGTAAATACTAGATCACGTTTCTTGCTTAGTTTGCTGAAAATTCTACAATAGACGTACATTTTGAGAAACAGAGATTTGGTGACGACAAAATCGTAAAAATATAACGCATTTTCGTAAAATAATTTCTTTGTTGAAAAGACTGTGGCTTGATGACCCATTGAACGAGTATAGTGTCCCGCTCCGCTTTGAATATTCGAAATACTATACTCCAGCAGCATTCAGCTTCAATGTTATCTTTATGAAGTTGTAACGTCTAGGCCATGCTGATTAAAAGCTTGAATGAATCAACACTTAACTCTAAATTCCCCACAATTCGGGAAGCTCTACTCAAATTGGCAACACAGCGTATCTGCCTATTATTCTCATTCGTGATACAGGTCTGCGGTTAACGGTAGGAAATATGTACGAATAGCGATGAAAGTAGACGAGCCGATGCGCTGTTGCCAAGAAATGATTTCCCATGTATAACAATGGTTTTTCCTAAGGTGTATACCTGTACATATATTAATTTCAAATAAATTGTAATAGTTTATACGTGAGTAAACTTATATCATTATTAATATATTTTATTGACCATGAGTGGATCAATGGCTTTTTTCGACAAGGTATTTCTATCAGTCTCCATACAAATTAGTGATATGGTGTTGCCTAGCTACGCGCTGAATTAATCTGTTCCACTGGAAATGACCATTGTCAAAAATTCACATTCAGAAAGAACCATACTCAGTATTTATTCAGAAACAGACGTATATAATGGAATTGGGGAACAACCAATTCGGACAAGTTAGAAGTATACGATTGATTTGTCGGAAAATTAAGTAGTGAGTGGTCAGAATTCAATTTACATACTTCAAGTCCATCAGGCTTAAGCCGGCAGTTTGACAGTTGTCAACATTTCACATTAAATTTGTAGTTTTCAGCGTAAGCATATGAAAGTGGGGTGTGCATACAGTCGTCATGTGCCAGGCAGTCGTCGGAAATAATGGAGGTTTCTATGGATTGCAGAATGCAGCTTAAACTGAATAAGATCAAATCTTTTTATTGAGAAGTGTTATTAGTATAGTCATCGGCGTTGAGAAATAGCGTCACCTGAACATCGGGCTTTCATCTGGACAGATGTGAGATAATTTTGATTTATTTAAAAATATTAGAGACAAGTCATTTGTTTAATGGATACTGAAAAAGGCTAACCGAAACGTTGATTCAACCAAAGGAAAATTACTTACTTGAATCTGAAAATTCTTAAAAAAGCTACTATTCTATGGAGGAAGCTCAGTACGTACAAAAAACTATGAGTATCAAATCAAGTAAAATACTTATTGGATATAGTGTCAACTATTTAGAAAAGCTGAATAGAATTTATTTAAGGTGTCTCACTATTTGAAACAACAGATATTCAGGCATTGTTGTTGTTTGATTTAGAGGATGTTTTGTATTGTTCACCAAAATCACGAATTAAGCAGAATAATTGTTCATAATGCTCTATCGTTAATAAATATTTACTTTGCCTTATTTAATTAATCTCTGACTATTATCAATAAGTGAGCGATTCACCTCACAACACATAATTTTTTCGCCTTTCGCTCTACGTGAGTATGCCCAATACGAATCTTTTGAATATCCTTTCCTGACAAAAGAATGTACGCCGATGTATTGGTTCGTCACTTTGGTAGACAATGGTAGGCAAATTAGCCTGCACTAAAACTACACAATCTTGGTTGCAAACAATGTAATGTGAAGATACAGGCTTGACTTCCACGGGTATTACGTATCTTGAAAAGTGACATTATGTAGGTTTTTCTAACTTAGCACTAGCTGATAGGCACGTTGTGAACAATACACATAGTCATCCAGATGCGATCTTGCTATTCAACCAACTTTCTTCTCACAGATAAAAACGACAGACTACTCGGCTTCACAAAACATAGGCAACCAACAATGCGTATAGTTTAGTTGAGTGATTCCTCCATGGTGGACGTTCACAACGTGGAATGACTGTTTACGCCCCAAAAACTACCTAGTCTGTAAGACGACATCTCATAGGTTTTTTACATAACACCCGTGTGGGACATAGCTATTATAATAAAGGTATACGGAGTACAAATAGTATGTTCACTCGGTGCTCATACCAGCTTATCTTTACGCTCTTCCCCCGCCCGCTAAACAACCAGGTTTCTGTGTCTGCAGAAAAACCGCTGAAACTACAACCGAATCCTAACCTTTTAGCTTGTTATATAGGGGTTTCATCACCCTAACTTTGACACAGTCTGTGGGATAAGCGCAGTGCCTCCCATTATCAAGAATTACATCTACAACTACAATTTACAACAACAACAACAAATCAGAACAAGGGAGTTTTTATCGCGAGTGACATCATTTTCCGAAGTCTGTATACTTTATTATTACTGACGATGACACACATTACCTCATTTATCATCAATGCCTGTGCCATTTATATAAATATTTCAATTTATATGCAATGAAATAATTCTAGCATCATCTCCCGTTTCGTAAATAATGACTATGTTTTATCATTGTGTAGCATCAGTTACCCAGATCTGTGCCCGACAGACCATGTTTTATTATAAATCAGAATATGTCAGGGATCGTCTAAAACATGCAAAACACACAAAACCGAAAATATTTTTATTGTATACAAAATAGTTTCGATATATTTTTAGCTTGAGATGAAGATTTGCACTAAACGGTTTTGAGGTAATTATGCATAGATAGTTTCTCGGATCTAAATACTTTACTGCATGACCTGATTCTATGAAATATCACCAAATGAACGAGTTCGCCAATAAGGATAGCCGCGGGAACTAAGTCGATCACTGCACACGCGGTGGACAAAAAATATCGTCAAGTAGGTTCACACTGCACTTCCCTCGTAATGCCAACATCAGTTCATAAAGGATTATGTTCAGCACAAACCTCGTATCCTGGATAGAGGATAGTTGCTGTGGTTTCGTTGGTTGTCCCAAATACCAATTGACAATACAATACAATGAGTTGTCAAAAAAGCACGAAACAGTTGCCTGTGGTTGGCTGTCTTTGGTCGAACAGCATGTATAGCTCAAGCCCTTTGAGAAACAAGTTAGTTACGAACATGTATAATAGGAGAATTTAATGTCCATCAAACAGGTCCAGTGCGGCAGCGCCGCAGAGCGCCAGTCATGCGAGGGCATTTATGAAGACCGGCACGCAGGCTGCTGGAATCAAGCAGGAAACACAGGGATGCTTGTCGAAGACATTTCTCTAGCCGCTTCCCTGATTATAGTATCTTTACTGAATGCACACGGTTCTGGTAGCGAGAATCCCATAAAGTACAGCCATCTCGATATCGCCGCAAAATTTGGCATTACGGGCATGCCAACTGGGAGGGGCTCAGGGACTTCTTCTCTACCTTTCCTGGAGAGATGTTTGTTTCGCTGACATGGATGCGTCGGCTGTCTGTTCTTCGATAACAGAAACTGTCCACGGCGGGCTGGAGGAATACATACCGCATACAGTGAAAGTTCCTAAACCAGTGTCCAACGGCTGGTTCAACAAGTCGTGTGACACTGCTCGCGAGCAGAAGATCAAGGCACACAGAATCTTCTTACAAAACCCCACTGTAGAGAACAGACAGGCTGACGTCGAGTCCAGAAAGGAAGGTGACAAAGTGGTTCGCAATGCCAAAGACCAGTACGATATAAAAGTTAGGCACAGGGTAATCTCGCAGCGCAATGACAGTCGGTCTTTCTGGTCGCTGGCCAAGCAGATTGGAAGGAACTTCTCACAGAGTAGCCTCAAAACCACTTACGTGTCAGGATGGAACGATTGTAACCGACTCAAAGGCTAAGGCGGAAGTGCTTGCCAAGATCTTTGCTGCCAACTCCACCATGGACGTTCCCCCCAACGCCCAAGTGCCGTCAAATCAAAGGGTTCCCTACATTATGCAGGAAGTAACGTTCAGGCATAAGACCGTAAGATGGATGCTCGTGTCACAACAAAGCTTCTGGTCCGGACTTGATTCCTGCCATTGTACTGAAGATGAAGAGGTGCGCAGAGAAGGTTGCTCCAGTACTTTGCGTCTCTTCGAGATGTCTTATGAATCCAGCACCTTCCCAGAAAACTGGAAATTTGCTCATGTCGAACCTATCCCAAAAAAGGATCTAAGACCGACCCTTAAAACTGCAGGCCCATAGCTTTGCTTTCTGTTATAGGTAAGGTGTTGGAGAGGTGCTTAAATCTCGAGCTTCTGGACTACCTTGAACGTCAGGGACCTCCTAGCCTACGTCACGCAATTGTGGAGTAAACTCATGTAGTATTATGGTGAGGCTCATGTTGTTGCTCTTAATATCACGAAAGCATGTATTAATTTACTGAAATGTAATCAATAAATATCTATATATCTATGCAATACATATAAATATTGACTTTTTCAAAAACAACAAAAGAACTGAGGGGCAGTTTCGATTCGTAATCTGAAAATATGCTTAGACGACGAGCATCACATATGGTTAAAAGTATGGGCAAAACATATTTAGAGCGTTAATACTGACGATGAAAAGGTCTTTGATATCGAATGTTAAATAATATCTATGATTGATAAGTAATTAAAGAAACTAGTATGTCAATTACTTTGTGTAAGCACGAGAAGCATGCAATACGTATTTTTGAAAAAGATAGAAGCACCACGTTGCCTAGCAATCAGAGTGACGAGGTTACGGACGCAGCTATGGCTTGCCGCGTTGCCATCTGCGCTCTCTTTCCGGTATACCTGTTGCACGCTTTTCGCTGCTTGTCTCTCGTACACAGTACCTTGTTAGTGGTATTTGGATTTCTCTGTATGTGAAACTGTCCTGTATTGTGTATACAGTTTAAGCCAAATGATTATATGAGTTTATTATCCATTATTTCTTAAGTCAATCGGAAATTCGGAACCCACGGAGTTTCGAAGCTTAAAACATCCTTGAACACTCCGCATCGCATCGCATTATTCACAGAACGGATCGACGAACAGAGCTTCGGTCCTTGGATACACTTGCGTCGCCAGTCCGAGCAGTGGAACGGTGTTGTATATTTTCGTTCCATCGAATCCGTTCGGGCGGAGAAGTCGGATTCGGTCCAACCAGATCCACCATACGATTAGTTTAGCCGGAACTGGTCGGACACTAACAACATAACTCTTTAGGAGACACTGCCACATATAAGCCTGTGTTTCTTGTAACTCTTGCACCGTACACAAGGCCCAATTTCACCAACAACAGTCCGTTATTCTCCACCTATAGGGTAACAGACCGTCAGATGCAGTGAAATGAGCTTCAAGTTCCAATCAACAAATTTTAGCAACCAATAGCTATGAAATGTTGAAAACAAAATACTGTCAAAGTATGAGATGACAACTTGTCATTGAACAATCACCAGCTTATTGAATATTAAGAAATTACATATAATTCAGTCAAAATTTTAAGGAATGTTTGATTTTTGAATTAAATTCATGTTTTAATTACTATTGTTGATTTTTTATTCATGTTTATATTATTTTCTTCAATTGATATGTGATACTGGGTGTTTTTTCCTATAAAACTCTTGCAGATAGCCATTAAGCACCTACTTGATGACAGGCTCTACCAAAAGATACTGCTCGTTTCCAAACATTCATTCATTTACTTGCCGTTTATCAGAACCATTATGGCACCTTAGATTGATATTCCCACAAAACCATTCGGGTTTTTAAATAACCATACATCCATAAAGTTGAATATTTTTCGTTGTTCAGGAACTGAACAAACATCCACACTATATTCACCGGGATTAAGAAATTCCCAAATATATGCCTTAAAGCTACCAGCAAACCTATAAAACTTGCAAAAAAACAAATTTGCCATATTTTTCTTTTTTCACGAGTACCCATTCTAGGTTATATTTATATTAGGCATTATTGCATTTCAAGGTGTGACACATGTGTGGGATCTGTCAACTCTTGGTACCAGTCACAAAACATATACTCTGAAGGTTTGATTCCATGCTATTCAATCACAACACGGTGACTTGTGTGGTGGTCAGCGGCCATTTTGTGAGGGTGCGACAGGGTTGCCAGATTGTGCATTAA